CACCGCTGTACCTTCAGCTTGCCCGGGTGGCTTCGCTGTGCCTGCGTCCGGGGAGACAGCAGCCGCTCCACTAACCGCTCCTGAATAATGATCGAATCCATAACCGCGGCTGGCAGGACGGAGGGAAGCCACGGCGGGCCAAGGGAAAAAACCCCAACCCATGTGTTCCCTCCCAGCCTTCGCTAAATCCATGCGGCAGCCCCCCCGCCTACGCGTGCACACACACGCAGGGCTGGCTCGGCTCGCCTCGGTGCCGAGGCGAGGCGAGGAGAGCCGAGGAGAGGCGAGGAGGCTCCCAGGCAGCTGCCCGGGATTTCCTGCCTCCGCCTGTGCCGCGGGAGGAGCCTGCCAGCAGGACAGGACAAAGGCCACCGCGGCCAGAGGCGATGGCTCTCCCCGCCGGTGTCCCGCGGAGAGGCTGCGCACGTACCGGATGCTGTCCCTGCCATCGGTCTGACTCCGCGTGACAGATGGGCCTATTCAGCTGGAGGATTTCTTACATACCCCGCCTGATGCAGCCAAGACAAAGGTTTGCTGGAGGAAACCTGCTCTCAACAAAGAAAGTGCTGCTTCTGGCTGTGTGGGTGAAGGTCTCAAGGATCCACAAAGGCCCCAAAAAGCAGGGTTCAAATATAACCCCCAGACCGCAGTCCTGGTTGACATGGATCTGTCCCCATATGATGCAGGCTGATCTCTTGTCTAGTCCAGGCTCTATTGCAGCCTCATCTCTGAATCCAACTGGAATAGCAGCAGATGCATTCTGGATCTTACAGCAACCATTCAAGCTCTGAAGACGTTTCAGAATAAGGAAGCATTTGTGTGTTCATTAACCAGATGAACCCAACCCAACAACAGCCCAGCACATCAAAAAAGTCATTCAAATCTCAAGTCTGAGTTCTGAACCTATAAAATATGCCTTCCAGCTTTTCTGTGCAGCCATAGAAACTGAATGGGAATTTATATTAAACAGTCAAAATCTCCTAATTTCATATAATCACACCATTCTGGAAACTGGGGGGTTAATACCACAGCATGTATAATAAAGTGACAACACCATAGCATGTATAATGAAGTGACAGATGACAGCACTGGTGGTGCTGGAGGAACCTGTCCCTTGCCTCACGGGTTCCTGAGCAGATTTCTGTTCACCAATGGGAAGGACACATGCTGCAGCCATACTCCTGCCTCACTCTCAGCCAGAGCTGCTGCTGCTTCTCTGGGATCTGCAGGACTTCAGCAGTGACTCCACAGAGTGCCAGACCAGCAAGGTCTGCCCTGGTCACCTTGGGCCACAACCCAGGGCCTCCACCATGTAAGCAGCTGTGAGTGTGCAAATGAAAGAAGAGCGGAAAACCCCCAGTGTTTTACCTATGCTGCTGTCCTATAAGCTGACAGAGGGTGATGTCAGAAGTCAAAGGCACAAGGTCCTAAAGGCTGATAAAAAATAAATGGAGAACGAGGAAGCACTCCCAGAGCAGGAAAACCCCTGCCATATAACAGCTGTCATACCACAAGCAAGAAACCCTTCTCCAAACCACCCTGATCTGCCAGCAGCATCCTTAATTACACCCACTGAGTTTTGTTCCCAGTTATTTCTGTGTGTAGCAGTCAAGCAGATGGTCTGGACTGAGATCCAGGTGTGGCAGGAATTGCCACTGATCAGAACACGTCCCTGTTTGGCGGCTCTGCCTTCCCTCTGCTGCATTGCTCCATTCCCCAGGGAGCTGATAGCCCTACATTGGTCTCCCTGCTCAGTGGTAGGTCAGGCCATGCTCATGACACCTCTTCTTCCTCCTAGATTCACCTAATCCTTGCTTTCCAGGACTGGGGCTCTCTCCCACCAGGGCCTGCAACTGGCACATGACTGAGGAGCAGTGACGGCACCACGCTGCCTGCACAGGGCAGCAAGAGCAATGGCTTGTGGCATACCCAAGGTGCATCCAAACCTTCTTAAGACAACATAACATCTCACCAGTCCTTCCACACCATAAACCACTATAGCTGCAAGCAAATCCTCTCCAACTCCAATGAATTCACATGGCTTGGAAAACTCTTGTTTGAGTACCATAGGCCACATGGCCACTAACCACAAGCATCTTCCAAAGGCACATGGAGACTTGCTGCATCCCCACGAGCCCACTGCACCAAATCAGAACATTCTTTTGGGCTGGGATCACAGATGAAGTCAACAACAATTTGGTTGCGACAAAACCACAGTGTTGTTCATGGCCCCAGGAGCTGTGCTGACAGTGCAGAGAGAAACAAGGAACAACTTGCCTTGAGCTCTCACACATCACACATGCTCTCAGGACTGGCAGCCAGGGAGGAATTCCAGTCAGAAGGCCATGCCTGATAACTCAGAGAAAAGATCAGGAAAAGAAACAGAAGAGTAGGTCTTGGCTACAAAGATCATCTTAAGACTGAGTGGCCAATGCTATGGCTTCCAAAAGGCTGAAGGACAGTCAGCTGGCCTCAGCCTCTCCTGTCCTTCCTAGAGACAGGAGAGATGCTCATCTGGCATCCTCAAAGTCACCAAACCATAAATGACAGACTTGTTTGTGTCCCTCAGATGTGACACATGACACACCCAGAGCTGTTGGCTCAGGCTGATCTGTGTCCAAACTTCCCAAAGACAGCCAAGCCAATCTTGTTTTGCCCCTGTCCTTTCTGATCACAATCCTCTTTCCACACATCGCTTAGAAATGCCCAGTGTAAATCCTGGCCTGCTCCTCCAACAAGAAATCTGATGTACACCATCCTTAAAAGAAGAAAAACAGAGGACATTTCGTGTAGTATGCAACAGAGCTCAGCAGGGAAAAACTTGACACTTCCAAGATCTAGAGCAAATCCAAAGTGTTTTCTTCCACTGGCACCTCTAAGCTCCTCTCCAGGCAGGTACTTGCAGCAGCACCTTGGGGGTCAAACTGGCTGCAGGATCCAGGTTTCTGGATCCAGTATACCAAACAGTCTGCAAGGGCAACGCAGACTTGGGGTGCACCAAGTCCTTCCCACCTCACAGACCAGCCCTTTGTCAAACTGTGACAGCAGAGAAGTCCTCCACCTGCAGGGGAGCTGTTTTCTGGCAGAGATGCTATGGCTTAGGGACTGCAGTGCTCAGGCTCCATCCTTGGTGAACAACCAGGACCATGTCATGGAAGGAAAGATCTTCAGCCTGATCCAGACAGACACTCTTGAGCAGCACAGAGCCAGGCAAGAGGGTCCCACCAGGGATGCACCCAGCCAGCCTGGCCTGCATGGAAGAGTGGTGAAACTGCATATCCATGGCTTGGCAGGGTCAGCACAGTCACGTAATAACAGCATTTATGTTTCTTCCTCTGAAGCAACTAAGCTATTTTCAGTATTCCCCACAGAAGGGAAATTTTCTTTCTGGCTGTTTTCTAGGACGAAGGGAAGGGCAGTTCCAGAGAAGCTGTTTGCTCAAACTGAATAGGAGCAGCAGCAGGCAGCAAACCCATTCCCAGCTTGACCAGGGCAATGGAGGATGAGGAACAGCCAATCCCCTCCCCTCCATGTGTGTACATACTAGGAACCTCCAGGGCTCAGTTACCACCTTCTTCTCCTGCTGCCTCCTCTCCCACTATAAGAAACATCAGTGCTGACTTCAGACAGATGAATCTCATGGGTATTGTAAGGTCTGAACTCTGCTGCTGCACCACTAGCAGAGCTGCACACTCACCCTGAGGCTCCTGCTGACCTGATCCAAGGAAAAAAGCCTTGCTGATCTAAACTCTGATGAATAATTTAACCTCAAACTTGCAAGCAAGGCTCCATCTAAGTGGCTTCAGAGCTCTGACTCTTTAGCCAGCCTTCATCCTGTGATGCTCAGGAAAAAGCAAGACACCAGACAAGAAATGCAGAAATCCCAAAGCACAGGATTAATCCTCTGTATGTTCAGTGCCACAAGCACAATCTGCACAGGACCCAGATCTCATCTTTTCTTTTACCTATCCCACAGGTCAAACTTAATTTCCGCTCAAGGATCAGTGCTGCTTTGTCACATAACCCCTCCAGAAATGTATCAAATTCTATTTCAAAGGTATTTATGCTCCCTGCTTCCACTTGAAGTGCCTCGTGCTTCCTGAGAAGCGCTGTGTGACTCATGCCATGCCTCCACTTCCAGCTCTTAAAAAGGAGCGAGGACTGTAATTTGCCTCCTGCTTGTTTAAACTCATGACTTGCTCTGGAGTGAGTTCACAGAGCTTCTCACACCCAGCTCCTCATTTAGGCTAATCTGCACCATATAACAAACTGGGCAGACGTGGAGCTGGCTGGATCTCTTCCAGCAGTCGCTGCCCGCCCCTGTCCGCAGCAGGAGCCGCGGTGCGGTACCGGCGCGTTCCGCGCAAGGCAGAAGCGGCGCACGCAAGGGCCGTGTCCGAGCGGGAGCGCCCCGGCGGCTTCCCTGGCCAGGGCCACACAGAAATCAACGTACAGGTCAAACCTGCCACCCTCGCTGCTTCCTCCGATTTTGAACATATTCCTTAGCATAGGACAGAGGTTTCCAAATTAAGCCTGTTAAGACAGAAGGAGAAACCAGGTGGTGGAAAAAGGTCTGTGGCAGTCTCAGCACTACTGCTGCTCATCTCTCCCTCCGATTAATCTTCCAGCTCTGCAGCACAGATCAGACTTAAATAGATGCCTGGCCTCTCATCTCAAAGCTATAGCTGGGAAAACCAGGGAGAGGCAGAGCAGAGCCCTGCCAGCCCTGGGAAGCCAGGAACAACAGCGTTTGGGAGACAAACAGGTACACATTCCTCTGGGGCAGAGAAGCTGGCTGGGCTGAGAGTGGTTTGGTGGAAGAGGATGGAAAATAATGGTGATTTATCCTCTGCAATGGAAAGGCACTGCTTCTTCCAGCTCTCAGATTCTCCATCCAAATGACAAGAACATCAGTTTTGGAAGTTCTTGATGCATGTTAAGGTACATGAATAGGAAAAGGCAGGGGACAGGATCCTACAGAAGGTGCAGTTTAAGTTACAGGTAGTGGTCCCAATCCTGCGATCCTTACTCACCGAGTAGTCCCTTTGACATAGAGACGACTGCTCACGTGAGTAAGGGATGCAGGATCAGGCCTGTCTACCAAAGAGGCTGAATCCTGAACCAGAGAGGAGCATTGTGAGACACCTGGTCTACGCCTGGTCCAGCAGGAGCTAATCCAAGGGCATCACAGGGGAAGGCAGTCCAGGCTGGGGCACCACATCTGCAAACAACACACTGAGCACAGACCATGGAGAGCAACGTGGTGGACAACAAAGATGCTCCACTCAAGCAGAAATCCTCCTGATTCATTCCCAGTTCACCCATCTCATGGATACTACCATGTCTGCAAGGAGATCTTTCTTAACCCTGCTGTCCTCCCAGCAGGCTCCTGAAAACTTTTTTGGGAGAATGAAAGCCAGCTATCTTGGGAGAACTTCCAACCTCTATCTTCCAGCTACAATTAACATAACTTTAGGAGTAGCTGATGCCCACAAGAGAGGAGAATAAGCCCACTCAGCTCACCAAATAATTTTAAATTCCATTAATTAAGGGGGAAAAGGCAGCTCTCTCTAGCAACTTTCAGTTCTGGGAGGCACCCAAGGAGAGAAAAGCTGGCCTCAGACTGTGTGAGCAATAACCCCAAAAAGCAGTGCAGAACAAGGAGGTAGAGGCACCTTCTCCTTCCTAGGGGGCCTCCTGCAGGTCCCCCTTCAAGGACTCAGATATCCAGGCTCCAGCCACACACCCTCCCTCCCTGCTGTCAGCTGCCTCTGCACACTCAGTAACATGAAGCAGAGTCTTTGTGCACCTTGAGACAGCAGAGGCACACAGGGACCTTCAATTTCCTTCCCACCCTCACTCCTGGGCTTGCAGCCCCAGCCCACTTGACTGTGATGAGCCTGCTGAGAAGGAGCCATGCATTCACCCTCCTCCCTCTGCACCAGCACAGCTCTGCCTTGCTCCACCTCCATCTCCACACAACACAGCTATACCTGCACCTGGCTGTGAAGTGCTGTCCCTCGGAGCCCAGCACGGGCCAGTGTTCCTGGAGGAAGCAGCTGTGTGCCTTCCACTCTGCCCCAGCTCACTGTGATGTGTGCTGGACCATCTGCTATCCCAGAGGGGTCCCCCAGGAGCTCGTTTCCCAGCCCCACCACAAAAAAAACTCAGTGCAAACGTCACTGTCCACATCAGTCTCCCCAGGGCTGGACCCTGTGTTGGGACTAGCAAGTCTTTGCAGATGGATAATTAGATTTCCTTTCCATTTCCTTTCCCCTCCTGATGGTTTCTCTGGCTGGCAGTTCCCCCACAGCCCTGTACAATCCAGCAGCATTAGTCAGAGGGAAATTTTGTTCCCTTCCTCCCCAGGATGTTGTTAGTGGTTCAATATGAACAGCAGAATGAACTCCATAATGATTTGAGCGCTTCATTGCAATAGCATTTGTCCTTTTCAGCCTGGCAAACACAGGCTTCTCTCCCATAGCTGCACCCTGCCCCTTTTGCCCAGGTGACACAGAAATCACAGTGTGAATTCAATGAATGTGATGCTGTTGGCAATTGGAAGCAGTTAGCTAATCAGCAGGAATATGCAATCAGCTGGACTGGGGTTGCAGCACACCTCCATTTATGAGCAGTGGTGCCAAACACTCCTTTTGGGCAGGGCCTAAAGAAGCGTACCTGATTCTCAGCCATGGTGTGAGGTGCTCTCAGAAAAAGATCATAACACCCTCCTGCAGGAAACCTGAGGAAGAGATGGAGCAATGATGAAATTGGGGTAATTTAACACAGAGCTGTATCTCAGAGCTCCCAGAGAAGGAGAGGACTGTGTGCCCAGATTGAGTATCCAAAGAGATCCTCACTGAGCATACAAGATTGTCTGTCCTCCCCTGCCACTAAGAAGTGGCTTTCTGGGAAGCAGTACTGATACCTGAAGCCCTGATGGTTGCACAATCCCCAGAACCTGCAGAGATGCACAGACACATGAGTTCCACCTGACAGAGAGGACTTTTCTTGCTGGGATCCACAAGTTTCCCAGTTTCCCTCTCTGTACAGGAGATGTACAGACTGAAGCTTTCAGATTGTCAATCTGTCAATTCTGTTCTCTTGTACCCTGTGACATCCTGTGTTCTCCATGGGCAATGTCCTGAATCCAGGCAGAGCATGGAGCTTACAGCCCTCCAGTGCAAACCATCAAGACTTCCAGCAGCTCCACAGCACTCCCTGGGCTTGGAAGTTTCTATTCTGCACGTGGCTATAAAAAGCAAACTGCTGCCTTCTCCGTGCAAGGGCCTTTGAAATGCCTTTCAGAAGATTTCAGGAGCCTGCAGCTGACTCTCCCCTGTGATCCATGCCAGCCCACTGCTGGCTGCCCACCAAGAGCTGGGTGCAGCGTTACCCAGCTGTGCCAGGCTCACAGGCCACGAGGCTGAGACACTGAAGCCATCGAACAGCCAGTGCCTCTTGCACCATTTGCAGCCTGGCTGGGCTTGCCAGGGCCTGGCACACACCGGTGGCCATGCTGGATCACGGCAGCAGTGAGGTGCAGTGTTCCCAAAGGGCATCACAGCCCTGGCTGCCCAAGGAGATCCCCAGCACAGCTGTGGGACCACCTAGGAGATACAGAGTCTGACAGTTTGTTGCATGAATGAAGAAGAAAAGGTAAGGGCAGCAAGGCAGCTGGGGAGCAGGATTCTTCCCCACTTGCCTGTGGTTTTGCAGCCATCCAGCATTGACATCGGCTCCTTCTACCCTGCCACTGCAGACACTGAGGTTGTGCCTGGGGGACAGCTGTCAGAATAATCAAAAACGGTATCAATAAATGCTTTCCAACACTTTCTCTCCCCTTCTCAATCACCTACTTGCTCCAGCAAACACCAAGCCTGGTTACACCTTCGCTGCACAACTCACTGTTTCCCTGTGCCCTGCAGTGTGACTGGAAAGTCACATTTTATGTGATGATGGGAGAAAATGTCAAGTCACTGAACATCTAAATCAAACTGTGCTGTCAAAGGGAATTTAAATGAAGTTTCTTCCAAGCTTAAGAGTAATAGTCAGTAACTGCTGAATGTTGCTTCTCCTTTTCAGGGAAACGTTGACCAGTAGGGCAAAAATAAGACTAGTTAGTCTGAGTTTGTAGTGAAACAGAACAAAGAACCTTAGATGAAGAAGTATCTGGCTCAGAGTCTCAGCAGAGATTGTGTCAAATACTAGAGGGCTCCCCATGCCCTTCCATAATACAAGTGTGAATTGCAAGGTCTGGAATCCACAGTAAGGATGGACCACACAGATCATTTACCAAGAATAGTGAACACTGACAGTTCCCAGTAGCTCTGCAGTACCCAGATGAACACCCTGCCTGAGGCTGCTGCAGGACACAGCACAGTTTGCCAGGCTGGGGGGGGTCAGCTCAGCAATCTTGGTGCTCTTGTGACAGGGGGGCAGTAACAGGCACCCCAGCACAGACACAGAAGCCCAGCACAGCAGCCTTGTCTGCTTCAGTCCAGCCCCAGACTTCATTAGCAGTTTTGCAGCAGTGAGAGATTCCTACTAACCGCTGAGATGGAGCCATCTGTTTCCATTTATGTGCTGGCTCACAGGAGCAGCTACACAGCAAAGGACTCTGGAGAGGGTTTGCTCTCCTGGGCACACAGGGAGAGAACAGCAGCCAGTTGGGACAGAGGACCTAATACCTCCCTTCTGCAAAATGAACACCTGGGAGGCATTGCAGCCCTCCCCCTTTGATTTTGTGACCAAGCTCCATTATTAATTCACCTACAGGCCACTTCCCTGAAGGCACAGAGGACTTGCTCCCAAGTGCAACTTGCACCAAATTACTGCTCTGCATGGCACCACAGCAGAGGAGGGGCTGATAAAGCTGTTTCCACATCTCTTGGCCTGCCCTCTTAAAGCCAAAAGGAATCTGCCACTGATAAGCCAGGATCTCTAAATTAAAAGCTACCAGGCCTTGTTTTTATCTGTATCAAGGTCCTACAGAAACCAAGTTATACAAAGGGATCTTTACTCAGACACCTTTTCCATGCATCTGTTTTTTGTGTACATGCTGCTTGGGCCAACCATGTACCCAGCTGCCTCACAAAAGGTCAAAACATGCTTGTGGTGCCTGTGCAGCACAAAAGGACAGAGTGGAGATGAAAATGGCAGCAGGTACCATGGGAGAGTCTAGGCAGCTTCCAAAAAAGGTAGCAGGATGAAAGGGATAAAAACTGGGGACACCCTGTGTGGAGAGAGCTATGAAAGTATTAGTCCTGTCTGGCAGCTGAGCTTTGTCAGGACTTTGCCACCTTGCTTTACCAGTCACACCTGCTTGGGAGGGAAAATAGCCTTCTTGCTCAACAGGAGATTTCATACTATAAAACAGATTGCTTAATTCTTGGCAGTTTGTGTTCGGAAACTACCCTTTTCCTGTGTTTGCTACTTCCTCTCTGAGCACACATTTTTTCAGAGCCAGAAGAGATGTTATGCTGCTCTCAGCCTGCCCATGGGCCCTGCAATTCCCTTCAGAGATTCCTTCAGCTTGTAAGACTTGGTGCCTGTGGTGGACTCACAAAAACAGCAGAGAGCAGCAGAACATATCCTAAGTTCTCCACTCCTTCACAATAAAATCTTCCTAATCTTGACTGGAGAGAGCAGAACTAAGTGTTCCGGGAGAACATTGCTCTTAGGTAAGAAAGGATGGAATATCAGGACAGCATGAACAAAACACAGCAATACCCTGTGATACTGCAGTAGCAGAAACTGGCTGGACAAAACTGGCACAAAACCAAAATCCTAAAACATCACACACAGCTTCTTGAAGGGATCCTTCCCAACATGGTCTTGTCTTATTGCCCCAATCCCACCACCAACTTCTCTGCCCCATTGTGGTTTTAGTTATCTCACCTCCAACCACACCCCTCTGCAGAGGGCAATTCTGGATCACTTGGCAGCCACCACCATGCTCAGTCCCACAACAACATGGCACTGATGCTGCAGGCAGAGGTGGGAGAGCAGCCAGACCTCAGGTCCATTCTCAATAGCTGGAAAAGAGCATTCTCTAAAGTGTATTCTCCTGTAGCTCATGTGTCTGGTGTAACAGCCTGAC